TAATTATTTCAATTAAGTAATTGGTAATTTAAATTAATATTCAGATTTTGACCTAAAACTAAGTTGTGCTTTACCTTAAAGCTTTAATATACCAAGTTTCATTGAAATCAGATGTGTTAATAGTGACAAGGCAGACATGACGACAGACAGACACACAGACAGGGTGACAGCTTAGACTCTCATTGTGTGCTTCACACACAGAAGTCAACAATATTTACTTTTACTTTTGTAAAGTTTTACTTTTGAGAATTGATAAATATACCAATTCTCTGATCTGTTTTTACGAAAATGACCTTGTACCAGTAATATAAATAAGTTTATTAGGTTAAAATTGATCCAGAATTTAAGCTGGCTAATAATAAATACAACACATACCTTTTAATTTTGAAATAGATTTGTGGTAGTAACTTGCAATTACTTTTGGGTCACTATTGGTGCTAGCTGCTTGTGCCTTCCTTCAATATCTGTATTGAAGAATATCATTGTTTGAATCATATGGCTTACTGATATTATATAAGGTTATCACACAAATGTGCATTAACTTTAACTTAATATCATTGAGCAATATATAATGGTAGTATAATCAAAGACATGGTTTAATGTGATAGAATAAGATACAAATTTGCTGATTTATTACTATTTGATTCATTATGCATTATTATGTAATGTTCAGTATAAAGATTGTGCATTGTCAAATAAATTGTTAAAAAAAGGATTGGTAATTACAGGGGTCATAATGATTTTTTGGTTGCTTTTCTATTGTTGCTTAATGTCACAGGAAATGTTTAAGCAAATACTGTTTGTTGTACATGTAAAGTTTAAGATGAAAGAGCATATGTGTTTCTATTAGAACAAATACACCATTAAAAAATATAACTGAAAACATTGATGCGGATGACTTGTGATGGTGTAGCCTGAAAATGACTTATATATTAGGCATTTTGAAAGAATTAATTAGCTCATTCATTAAAAATTTGAAAAGACGTGCAAAACGCTAATAGCACATTGATCAACAAAACAATTTATACTAAATTGATCTCACATCGCCAAATTTATACAACATTATATAAATGGATATCAGAAAAAAATGAGCACCAGCTGTTGCATATGTCATGTGATCATTTTTGTTATAACCTATAACCTATTTTTCTTGTGCTTGTGAAACTGTGTAGGACAGAAGGTCTATGGTCAAAACTACAACAATAATATAAAATATTATTAATAATACAAATAAATTAATACTAATTATAAAACAAAACAATGCATATATACTTGAACAAAGAACAGCAATTGGATTGGTGGAGATGAAAAGACAAAATATATGCTCCAAGTTCAGTAGCATGCAAATTAACTCTTGATAGTAACACACAGTTAATGCTGTTGTTAGAATTAAATAATTTCTCAATGATTATAATAAATAGTATAGTCATAAATTAAAGCGGGAGGGTTGTCACCAAGCAACGATAACAACACACGCTAAAACGCAAAGGCTCATAGTTATACACTTGTTTGTAAACAACGACACGCTATGGCCATCTGAAAATTCGTAGGCGATGACTCTCTTGCATTAAATTTCACCGGAAACAGGATGGGTTCAATGCCAAATGGTCAGTGGAATATATATGAAACAAGATTGAAAAGTAAATAAAAGTTCAAAAGACAGAGCCCGGTCCAGGCTAAGACTAAGAGAGAGTGATAGAGGGACTGTGGTACTGTCAAGGCGCTAAAATGACTGCCTGGTGCAAAAACACTTGACCGTTTAGATCAAAACCTACCTTCTCCTGTACATGTGAAACCATATACTAGTTGTTGTTGGAAAATAAGAGGGTAAACTAGGTTACTATATTGAACCAAGAACTTCACGGAGTCAAGCTCAGGCCGCCATGCCTGTTAGACTGTACCATTTTCTTTACGGGGGTCGCTGCTTTGATTGCGTGGGGTGAGTTGCTGAGTCGGCGCGGAAATTTCTAAGTCGGCGAGAAACTTGCTTACATATCGCGGAAGTTGCTGAGTCGGCGCGGAAATTGATAAGTCAGCGAGAAACTTGCTTACATGTCGCGGAAGTTGCTAAGTCTGCGCGGAAAGTTGCTGGTCGGCGCGGAAGTTGGTTACATATCGATGATTGTCGCCATGGGCCACCGTAGTTAAAGCATATAGGAGAAACAAATGCAATAAATTTTGACCATTTTTGCAAAACACCCAAGATGGTGGCAAAAATATGTGACTGATAAATTGATATTGTCAAATCACGTGATTTGTCCTAATTATTTTGTTATATATAAGAGTTCGATAAATTGATTTCAAATTTCAAGAAATATGGATATATGAGTAAGTAAACAAAACTACTTTCTGTTTAAAAGAAATCAAATATGACAGCCAAATGAAGTGACCTATCACAAAGAGCTTCGCAGATTTTGAAGAGCTTCATACATAGATGCCAAAAAACGAATCTCAGTAATGGTTTAAAATTACCACTTCCAGTTTAACTATAATTAAAGATGGCTGCCAAATCAACAGGTTCCAAACAGACTCGACCCTTAATAACCACCCGGATAACATGTACGAATGATCGAACTCTTTACATGTTTTTTTTACTTTTTTCGAGTAAAGTAGCATATCGATGACCCGCGTTAATCTGGTTATATTGGTTATATGACAGCAAAGCACAAAGCCTTGTCAGTGAATGAGAAAGATATAATTGTATTTATGATAGGATAACGCAATTCGTGATAGGTAGTCAATCAACTGTGAATGGAAAGCCTTTAAAGATGTGTTATTTACAGATCCAAGTATTGTACACGTTATACTCTGTGATCAATCAATTATCAGCGGGCTATGGTAATTTTTTTTTTGCAATAAACATAAACTTAAAGCGGTAGGGTCGTCACCTGCACACGCGCGGAAATTGAGCCCCGGGCGACGATACCAACACACGCTAAAAACGCAAAAGCTCATGGGTAGGAGCTTGTTTGTGAACAATGACACGCTATTACCGTCTGACGCATGCGCAGGTGACGACTACCCGCTTTATTTTTTTCACAGCATGAGTGTTAACATATACATCATTACTGTTAAAGTAGAGAAGATGATTTGGTTATATGTATGGTGCTTACACAGTTTATCTGTATCGCTTAAGATGATATATGCAATATGTGGCATACTAGCCTCAAATATTCGATTTGTACTTCTACATTCTACGTAGTTTGTATATATATCTGAAATTAAGTACATAGGTGTATTTGCAGTATTTGGGCGATTTTTTTTTTAAAAAGCATAACTACCTTATCCAGCTTTATTGTCAGAATTAATTTGCAAAAAGAAACACAATTTTCAACAACAACAAATACATTTTAATTAAGAGCACATACACATAATATTAGGCAACTAAAGGAAATCGCAACATAGACCTTCCCTTTAATAAACATCTGAATGTGGGAATGAGTAAATTTAACCAAGCAAATTTCTGAAGGTCTTAAACGATACAAATTGTTATATTCTAGTTCAACTTCCCATGTATTGAGCAAAGAATTATAGATTAGATAACAAGTGCCAGTCACTTGTTCAAGGAACAGCAACAAAAACAACAACAACAACAACAACGGATAAGTTCTTCTGTATTTGAACAAAACTGAACTGTAAACTGTTGTTTACATTGTATTTTATAAACCGGAAAAATTATGTGTTTTTATATTGAGAAATTTACGTCTACGTCACGTGCATACTTTCCACACTGACAACAATATGATTGTCTTTCCCATTGTGCATTAAATTCTGCTACCTTCTAAGAAGGGACAATAGTTATTTACTGCTCAATCAAAACAGTCCTTGAACTAACAATGAATTTGATCTATGACCATTCAAGATAAAGTAAACAGATCTCTAAAATTACAAACTACGCAATTTGGTTGTTTATATGTATAACGGATAAGAACTGTTTTTGAAGAGAGGGGAACATCTGAGAAACAGCGAGTCAGTCGACAGTAACATCAGCTCGATTGGTGACGAAGGGAGCTGCAGTCAAATAGACTGAACCGTCCAATTTTACTACTATAATTAAGTCATCACCCTAGACTCGTTTATAGTTAGTGATTGTATCAGTCATGGATTGGATCTACTGTATAATAAGAATAAACCTACTAAACGTTGCATACTGGACTACATGTATCTGTATGTCTTCCCTATGTACGCCCCTACCGCCTGGTAACGATTCCCGTACGTACCTCTAGTCTACCAACTTATGAAGCTAGTCTACGATTGCTGAGTTCCCCAAACTCGGTAGAAACCCCGACAACATATTGTCATTGTCTGAGGTCTTGTTAATATCAATTACCGCCACATATATTCAAAACAACTAAGCAGAGTTGAACACATCTTGTCGGACGTCGTCAATAAAAATGTGAGCAGATTTATTTACCATGACAACCCAGAATAGCGGATACGAAATGTCTATAAATATCATATACGATTGGATAGATCATATTGTACTGACCATATTGAGTGTGGTTGTCTGTGTGGTTGCATGTGTTGGACAGCGTACAACACAGCACAACGCAGCATGCAGATATTGTGTGATGAATGGTTATTTTTTAATGGCAACTTACGAAACATTTATTCAAATTTGTTACCTTTTACCTCAGGGCCCGTCAATATAATCACTGGTTATGATTACGTGAGATTAAATAGAATTATTTCCCTTACATCTCTCTTCTCTTTTTTGTTGTTGCTCCCACTGGAACGTACGGTCTGGCCTTGGTTTCTGCCTCTCCCCATGTTAAAGCCATTTCCCTGAGTTCTTGCTCAATGGTTCTCCGCCAGATGTTTTTCGACCTGCCCTTTGGTCGTTTTCCTTGTGGTGTCCAGCGGAGAGTTATCTTGGTGTTGTATGAATCGGGCATTCTGAGAACATGCCCAAGCCATCTGAGTCTTCTAAGCTTTATTTGTGCAATGATGCAGGTGGCTCCAGTTCTTTTGAGTAGGTCCAAGGTGGATAACCGTCAGGGTCAGAACATTTTGCAGATGCGCCTGAGGCAGTTATGGTGAAAGCTTGATAGCTTTTTCATGTCAACCTTGGTGACCCTCCAGCTTTCGCTCCTGTGCAGTAAAATGGATTTTACATTGCTGTTATAAATTTTGACTTTAGTGCTGATGTTATACTGGCTGGATTTCCATATGGGCCACAACCATGCAGATCTTGCTTTGGCTAGTCTGCCTTCAATGTCCTTTGGTGTGGGGTTCTCATTGCTCACGACTGCACCTAAGTAGGTAAATTGGTCCACCTGCTCAATTTCTGCTCCATCAATAACCAGTCTACTGTTGCATGTGGAGTTGAGTCTCATTTCCTGGGTCTTCTTTGTGTTAATTTGGAGCCCAATTTGTTTGGCATAGTAGCTGAGTCGTCTGGTCTTCTCCTGCACTTGACCTTGCTTAGATGACAGGAGCGCGATGTCATCTGTGAAGTCCAGATCTTCTAAGACTGAGAACATAGACCAGGTGATCCCTCTTCTACGATCGCTGGTGGTCTTATTCATCGCCCAGTCAATGACTACCAAAAAATAAGACAGGTGAGATTATGCAGCCTTGTCTTACACCAGAATGAACTGCAAACCAGTCAGTTGCTTTGTTGTTTAGTAGAACTGCACACTCAAATTCTGTGTAGAAACATTTGATAAGAAAAAACATCCTGTCTGGTATTCCATATGATCCAATGATTGCCCAGAGCGTGTCTTGATGAATGCTATCAAAAGCTTTTTGAAATCTATAAAGTTTATGTATAGAGATGATTTCCACTCTATACACTGCTCAATGATGTTTCCGGAATCCCGCCTGTTCTTGCCTCAAAGTCAGGTCAAGTGTTTTGTTGATTCTATTCAGGAGGATTCTGCAGAAAACTTTGCTTGGGATTGAGAGTCCCTTACATGGTCAACCCAAACATGACACTGAATAGTGGACGTGAGGTTCATTCTCCTACTTAGATATGGCACGTTTTTGTGGACCAGTATGAAACGTATTATTCAGCTTCGACTGTGTAGAGGTATTTGCACAGTGGAGATCGTCGGATGTTTGCGTGTTTCTACAAACAATACCCGTTGTTATTTTAAGCCATTAAGAAGGCTACGTTTATTTCTAGTTTGTCTGCATTGGCCCTAATTTCATTGACGATTTGCATCAAGTCAACGAACGGCAACATGTTATGCACACGTAGAGGCAGCAAAGCAGTGTCCCACGAATGTCCATTCGTGTCGGTTACTTTCTTATGTTGTTTATCTACGTTGATATCAACAACAGTTATTACATTGCCTTCTGCAATTATTTAAGGAATAACCCCCACCCCTGCCATCACCGCCACACACACATGTTCAAATGTGACACAGTAACTGAAACCGTTTAATTGAAAAATACCTTGGAACTAGCATACATCGATACATTGAGCGGTGGCGCGACTTCTCACTCTTATTACTTCAACTTTTTAAAGTCGTTTGCGTAATTCTGAAAAATGAATTTCTCCATGCATATCTTTTGAGTCCAAAATGCTTAAAATAAAGGTCGATTGTTCTTCATTATGTTCGGATCGCAACATATTATTTAAAAAATAACACGCTCACGCCCAACAAGGCATTATACACTATTCTTGTTCGTTCAACTAACCATATAACAGTAAACACGGTGAAAACATCTATATTTTCTTTCGATGACGATGCACATGGACGTAAATTCCGGTATTGTATGAAAACTTCACATTATATTACTTTATCTGAACACAATACCCTGATTCAAATAAACATTGTCACGCGTTCGTTGTATACGCAGTGTTTGACAATCACGTGACAATTTAAATACAGTATTGAACATACTAGTAGTACTAAAAAGCGAAGCCGTTATTGCTTTCAAATCACGCACTAACAATCACAGAGACAGCGAGAGTGGACAATAGCGTTACTTGTATTTGTATTTGATGTGTTGAGCTATTTTACTTTTTTATGTCGCCCAAATCATACCCCCTATCGCCTTATTAAAAGTATGTTCTATTCAAATCATAACATCTCAGGAGTAGATATCGTTTGTAATTTCACTACGGAAACAGTAGATCGCCCAAATCATACCCCCTATCGCCTTATTAAAAGTATGTTCTATTCAAATCATAACATCTCAGGAGTAGATATCGTTTGTAATTTCACTACGGAAACAGTAGATCGCCTAAATCATACCCCCTATCGCCTTATTAAAAGTATGTTCTATTCAAATCATAACATCTCAGGAGTAGATATCGTTTGTAATTTCACTACGGAAACAGTAGATCGCCCAAATCATACCCCCTATCGCCTTATTAAAAGTATGTTCTATTCAAATCATAACATCTCAGGAGTAGATATCGTTTGTAATTTCACTATGGAAACAGTAGATTGCAGCCCCCTCTCGATCGCGAAAACATGTGTTGTTCGTCGGTGGCGATTGACACAAATCGTTTTCTGCATTCGTACTTGTCCTCTCCAAGCGTGCCTGTTCCACAAGTATGTCCTGTCACGACAGCCTAAGAAAACCCGTGAATTGGGATAGTCATCGGGAGACACCGATATCAAGGAGGTATCTATGCCTAGATTCAAAACAGTTCTCACATATTAGAAATATATTGGTTCTCAAGATGTCAAAGGATCGGTTCCGATCGACTCTGAACGAACCGGTCGAACTCGGCTTTTGTTCTGTCCCAACCGTATACTCGCAGGAGATAGTCTCCTTTTAATTGGTAGGAAGAAGCAATATTTCGGCTCAGATAAAATGTTGCCGTGTAAACTGGCAAATGTGTTTACGTCCAACTACAGTATATAAGTAGTTAACCACAGCCCGTCTTGTGAGTTGATAAACTAATCATAGGCTTCACAGTGCTCGCCTCTGTTTGCATTTTTTTTATTCAAAAAGGAAATGCACACATTTACAGTAACGAATGATTTAAATTTCGTTTCCTTTTTTTTCAGTTGCTCTGTATCATACATTATAACATGGCAGGTGGTAGTACATTCCATGATTATGCCAGCTAATCAAATCTCACTCAAGTTCTCGTTCAGAATTTCAACGTCAACATATATATATCTGGACTTACATTAGAACTTAATTACTCATGGAAAGATATCCAATAAACATTCTGGTCATGGAAAACTGGCAGGGTCTCCTAACTCAGACTGATAATAAAATAAAGGCAGGGTTAGAATCGCGATTCCTAACACTTAGCCATGGTAAGTCAACACCTCAGGCGACGGCTAATTTATGTTTTCTCAACCGGGTGTCAATAAAACTGTGGTCAATGCATGGAAACTAGCATATAATAGTACCTCCCCGTTTTATGTTTACGTTAGGTTTTTTTGTCCATGGCATACAGTGTGTAAAATCGTCCGCGGAGTCTAAACCTTGCGTCGTGTTATCATTTCCACTTAGGGAGGGACACAATGGATTACGTAAAGCCGATGAGATATTCATACAGTTATATAAACATAGCGATCGCCATTGGGTGGGTTGACTCTAAATTTACCTTTCCTCAAACATTAAAAAAAAATACTTTGTATGACGCAGTTTTTCGCGATCTCTGGTGAAATGAACCGTGCGAAGCTATACGAACAGGCTGAAATTGGCTGTAATTATTTTGCTACACAACAGATATTCGCAGTTTTTACTTTCAATCGCTCAAACGCCGGTGAGAAAAATCGAAATGGAAGGGAAACTATTGTAAATCGAGACCACTGACCTCTGGAAATACATCATTCATAGAGTGCCTTAGTACCAGAGGTCGTCGAGCACTGCCGTACTACGTACTTTGCGACATCGCTACAGATGCATGCTAGCTGACAAGGGGCTTTCCAATTAAGATAACCAAGATGTCATCCCAGAGTGCTTGATTTTTTCCGCGGTGTTTAAAAACAGCATCTCGTTGCCGATTTCTGTAAATTCCAGGGTATTTTTTTAATTTTTAATTAACCGAGCATTTTGACGTTTGTGTATTTTGCCACTAAAACGTTAGTTATCGATGACAGCACAACAATGGTGTTTATCCATTGCATCGCAATGCTATCGGCACTGTGATCGTTACAGCGAAACAAAAATGTATACCTCAGTTTTAAAATGCCTTTGGAGAAAAACAAATATATAACAGTATACCACTGGGAGCTGACAGGCTAGAAGTTTTCAACATGTTGCGAGATAATGGTGAATTTATCATTTGCAACTATATGTGTTTTTATTCCGCTTGCATGCTTGAAACGTCTACGTCTTGTCTGTTTTTTTGTGTTTTTTTAAGTTTAGGAGGCTAGTTGATAGCGCTTGAGGTAAGTAAACAGCGTCCAGGACAGGAAGTCTCACATCACCGCACCGTAATTGAGGCCAGCGACTCATTTGCATATGACATCAACAATAACGATCAAATCAAAAAGCAACAAACTTTCGGGACTTTTAATCACTTTTAATCACTTTTAATCGGTTTCTTATATTTTAAAAACATTTTTTGAGTATGTTACAGCATTGACAATGCTCCGAAATTTTAACACTAACTAGCCAAGACTGCCTGGGTAAAAAAAAAAGTAGGAAAAAAATAACTTCGAGTGCCCACGAACATGAATCTATACATTAAAAGGAGTACTGATGGCAGGACATTGGAGGGATAAATTTTGCTGGCTCAACGGTCAAATCATGTGTTCGCTTGGTCGCTTCAGACGATAGAAACGTTCAATTTCACGTATTTGATACTACTTTCATTCGAAATTTTATGTTTTAAATTGTACATAGTATAAAATAAGGTTCACACACACAAAATTGATATTGTTAAACGAAGGCGTTGAACTACCTACAGTGACAGTGAAGGAGTGAATGCTATGTAAATAGAAGCTATATTCTGTAAGGAAGGACTCTATCGTGTAGTTTCTGAAGGTCGTATGTATCATGAGACTTGGCATGTGATAACGATGTCCGAGCAGACATCACAAGCATACTGCCGAGCAATAATAAAAGGATAACCATATGAGCGGGAGAACACTTGTTATTTTACTCCTTGTAAGAAGGAAAATACGTCTGACACAAAAGCAGTCGCTGACACGACGCGTAGCATCATATAGCACATTG